TGGAATCCGTCGTCCAAATTGTGTACATGGTACCCAGTAGCGAGTTTTTCAACTCTTGTCCCCACCCCTAGACACATTCTTAAATATTGCCCAGAGAAGATTCCAGGATATCTCTTCCTTAGGGTCATCCGGCATTTTATGTCTCGGTCACATCAAAACTGGTTGTCAATGAGCTATTAAAAAGCAGCACCGTGAAAGAAGTCTCGGTTTTGACCACATGTGATGCATGGGGTCTCGCATTGTGTCTTTCTGCTCCATAGCTGGAAGCACCAGCACCCTTGCAACACATGTCATTTTAAAGGCTCCACTGTTGCAGATTCTGTCTTCTTAGGGCCTGTGGTCAGGAACCTTGTGAAGTGTTGCTAGAAGCTGGGGGTGGGGAGGTGGCATGGAATGGGGGGGGCTGATGCCTCCCTCTCCTGCCTCGTTTTTCTGTGGGCCTCATTTTGTATGCAAGGAAATAAGCCAAACAGCCTGTGAAGAAAGGAAGAATGAGATAGTTTCCTAAGTTGTCTCTGCCTGAGTTGGCCGCGGGTCTGGGGCTCATTCAGCCCTTTGTCCCCCTGTTGAGTGCAGTGCGTGTGTGGTGACAATGGAGTGGCGCAGTTACACTGAGGGCTAATGGTAGGAGTTCCGTCAGCCCATTCATGGAGGCAGAGGAGGGTGCAGGGCGCAGAGCTCGAGCCAGCAAGCAGAGGAAGTCAGAGGCCCTTGTAACGAGCCGAAGATCACAAACACTGCTGTCAGGGCTCCAGGCTTGGGGGGTGGGGGCAAGGGAGGGGGCCTATCATCGTGGAAGTTGGAGGTCTGCCCGACCTCCAGCGCGGTAGGGTACCACCTGTCCAGGCTGACAGACGAGCATTATGGCTTCCCTTTTAATCAGCTTAATTTGGGGCATCTTAACACAATGGCTGGTGCTCTGGAGGCTGCAGGAAAGCTGATGTCCTAGAGCCGCCGCACTTCACATGCATGTAACATCTTTTTATTGGAGGCGCTTTCGTGTTTTTCCAGCCACTTGGGCTATGTTTCTCTTTCTTGGAGATTCTCTGATCTGTCTGTCTTTACTTAGAGCTTAGAAGTCAAGGTATACAGAAAAAGAAAGTTCTGAAATTGGAGGCTTGCCCTCTCTAAAGCCAAGCCGAACTTTTAGCCAGATGTCATTGTGGGGCAAGCCACTTCAGCTCTCCAGGCTCCATTCCCTAGCTGGGAAACGAGAGCACTTGGCTATTTGATTTCCGAAGGCCCTTTAGACCTCCAAATTATCCAAGTCTGTGATTATTTATGGATGTCTTCTTATAATGCAGCCCTTCGGAAACACGAACTCCACTCTTGTCTCAGCTTGATCATCTAACAGAAGCAGGCTGGTTGGATTTAAGATGGGGGGGGCGGTCTTCTCTCCAGATGGCGGCCCCATCCCCACCCCACCCCAGTCCCATGCACTCTCCTGCCCTCCTGCTTTGGGCAAGACGGCGATTGTGTGGAGTTGGCACGTCCAGTGGCAGGTATCGGCACCACTGCGCAGTCTCCTCTCCCTTCACCCTCCACCAGCATACAGAATGTATATGCCCTTCGCACGTCCAAAGAGGGCCCCTGCCATGTTAAACAAAGGTATTCATATGCGGGGAGTGAGCTCTGTCTCGTGGAAGGGAGAGGCCAAGTTCTGTCTCCACCGTCAGAGAATAATGTTTGACATCATTTATACAAGACAGGGTTTTGCCCTTTTAGTCTTGCTGAGCCAGAATGAGGGATTTGTGTAGTTGAAAGTCGAACTGATCATTGTCAAATTGCGAGGAAGTGGAGCCTGAAAGAAGGTTAGGCAGGACTGCAGAGAGGGGTAGCATCCTGCTTCGCCACAAGGTAAGTCTAGAAGAGGGTGGGGAAGGGAGTTCAGAATTCTTCACTCATGGAGTACCTGCTTTGGTCATCCTTTTACCTTCCAGTCAGAGGGATCATTGATCAAGAGCTGGCCAGGCTGGGCGTGGTGGCTCATGTTTGTAATCCCAGCACTTTGGGAGGCCAAGGTGGGTGGATCACCTGAGGTCAGGAGTTCGAGACCAGCCTGACCAATATGGTAAAAACCCTGTCTCTATTAAAAATACAAAAATTAGCTGGGCGTGGTGGCACACGACTGTAGTCCCAGCTGTTTGGGAGGCTGAGGTGGAAGAATCACTTTAACACACAGAGGGTCCCTCAGTCAGCCAAGAATCCTGCCATCTCCTTTAGATAACAAAATCTCTTAGGCCTTATGCTTTGGGTAGGATTTGTCTTCCATGGACAAGCATTCAGTTGGAAACAAGTATATAGTCACTGCCTCTATGGGAGGGATGTACTCTGATCTAGTCTCTCTGCCTCCTGGAAAAAAAGAAAAATTGTAAACATCCCCTTCAGCTGTTCCTCAAGTCCCTGTACCGTGGAAGGACATTACACGTGAACTTCCTGGATTCAGTGGATTATTCTCTGCAAGAAAAAAAAACAGAGAAAGAAGAAAAGATGAATTTAGATTGTTAGGTTCCGCGTTTCACTCTCTGAGTGCACACAGCCGGTGGGGGAGGACAGTTGGGATGTGGGGTTGAAGCTGTGTTCTGGGTCTTGGTTCCTGCCCCTGCACTGTGGAATGAGCATTTCATCACACCACGTTGATTCTAGCATTTAAGTCAACTCCTTCATGCCGTGCTCAAATGCAGAAAGGGCTGTCTATGTCTATCCCAGCTTTAGAAGAAAAACTGATAGGGTGAGACTTGCCATTCCTCTCTCATGTGGAACCTTCCTATCGGACATTCCACAGTAATTTTAACTATAATCACTTTCTGCCTTTAACCCCCACTTTCATTTTGATTCTGTATTTAATACTAACTTTTTCAGGTTATAAGGATTTGAGGTTTTCAAACATCTACCGAAATGTAAGTGCCCCTAGAAACATACTTTTAGGCCTCGTGCGGTGGCTGACGCCTGTAATCCCAGCACTTTGGGAGGCCAAGGCAGGCAGACCACCTGAGGTCAGGAGTTCAAGACCAGCCTGGTCAACATAGTAAAACCCCATCTCTGCTAAAAATACAAAAATAAGCTGGTCGTGATGGCACATGCCTATAATCCCAGCTACTTGGAAGGCTGAGGCAGGAGAATCCCTTGAACCTGAGAGATGGAGGTTGCAGTGAGCTGAGACTGTGCCATTGCACTCTAGCCTGGGCAACAGAGTGAGACTCCATCTCAAAAAAGAAAAAGAAAAGAAAAAAGAAGCATTATACCTTTAGCTTTCGCCACCAAGCAAGTAGTAACCTATGATGACAACACTGCCACATAGTCCTTGATGGAAAAACTTGGGGAAGATCGGAACAGGGGTAAGGCAGGTGAGGCCCATGAAAATTCTCATTCATTCATTCAGCTCGGCGGGTCGGACAAGGTAAGGGATGCGACCAGGAGATGCCACAGGAAAGTCTGAGAGATGTTAGCAAGTCCGGGAGGCCAGTACCTGACTCCACCTCAGCTTCGTTCAGGGTGGCACGGAGACCCCTGCTGCTGGGTCACGTTGTCACCGTCAGCACTCTCCCCAGCACCAGACACACAATCTTCACTAAAGATTGTCAAGATCTTGACACACAATTCACCACTCTTGACTAAACGCTAATCTATACCTCATTTCAAAGAAATCTGAGGAATTCTTTCAGGTTCCAGGACCAATTTACTGTTACACATAATAGTGATCATTTATTGAGCTCCGCGTAGCACTACACATATACCAGGATCATCTCAGTTGCCCTTTACTCTGAGTGTTTTGTTGTCCTTGCTTTGTGGATGGGGAAACAGATCAGAAAAGTTAAATAACTTAGGTGCCACCTGCAAGTATGGTGGGTGGGCAGCAAATACCAATATGCCTGACTAGGTGCATTTTAGATTTTGGGGAAATAAAGATAATGCTTTTCTGCTTGGCAAAATAGAAACTCTGTAGGTGGTGAGAACTGCACAGTGAAAGAAACAAAAGGGAGGAGGGCGAATCACGAGGTCAAGAGATCGAGGCCTTCCTGGCCAACATGGTGAAACCACGTCTCTACTAAAAATACAAAAATTAGCTGGGTGTGGTGGTGTGCACCTGTAATTCCAGCTACTCAGGAGGCTGAGGCAGGAGGATCGCTTGAGCCTGGGTGGTGGAGGTTGCAGTGAGCCAAGATCATACTACTGCACTCCAGAGTGAGACTGTCTCAAAAAAAAAAAGAAAGAAGTATTTGCAGTTTATGTGAGGGTCAGTACATTGGTCTATTGGCTTCCTTCTCTAGTTCTCAGGGGCTGAGTTTGCTAATGTCATAGCACCTCTAGTAGCCTTCCCCTTTTCTCTGCCACTTCCCAGCCCCCCAGGCAGAAAGCTTCTGGTTGGCCCCTTGATTACCAAGCATCCATAAGCAGACCATCATTTGGGCCAGTGCTTCTCAGAATACCCATCACCTGGGCTCTGCTAAAATGCAGGTTCTGATTAGCTCGGCCTGGGTTGACTGAGATTCTGCAGTTCCAACAAGCTCCCAGGTGATGCTGATGCTGCCGGCCCACGGACCCCACCTGGAGTAGTGAGGTTCCTGGGCACTTTAAGAACATCCCTCCTTTACTTCACATTTATTCCTACTGGAAACTAGCATAGAATTATGCAGGCTAAATTATGCATGTTTTCTTGGTAGGATGCTCTGTGTCCTGTTCCTCTTGCTAACAGCTCTGGTCTGGACCGTTGTTCTAGGATTGTCTCATTTACTTCACATTTATTCCTACTGGAAACTAGCATAGAATTATGCAGGCTAAATTATGCATGTTTTCTTGGTAGGATGCTCTGTGTCCTGTTCCTCTTGCTAACAGCTCTGGTCTGGACCGTTGTTCTAGGATTGTCTCATTTACTTCACATTTATTCCTACTGGAAACTAGCATAGAATTATGCAGGCTAAATTATGCATGTTTTCTTGGTGGGATGCTCTGTGTCCTGTTCCTCTTGCTAACAGCTCTGGTCTGGACCGTTGTTCTAGGATTGTCTCAAAGCCTGCCAGGAGCAGATTGAGGCGGTGCTCCTCAATAGCCTGCAGCAGTACCGTCAGGACCAGCGCGATGGATCCAAGTCGGAGGATGAACTGGACCAAGCCAGCACCCCTACAGACGTGCGGGATATCGACCTGTGAGGATGCCAGTCGGGCGGGAAGAGAGGCACACTCATAATCTGCTCTCTCCTTCTTTCTGGTTATGTTTTGTTCTTTGTGTTTTAGGGTGAAACTTAAAAAAAAAATTCTGCCCCCACCTAGATCATATTTAAAGATCTTTTAGAAGTGAGAGAAAAAGGTCCTATAAAAACCGAATAATAAAAAGCATTTGGTGCCTATTTGAAGTACAGCATAAGGGAATCCCTTGTATATGCGAACAGTTATTGTTTGATTATGTAAAAGCAATAGTAAAATGCTTACAGGAAAACCTGCAGAGTAGTTAGAGAATATGTATGCCTGCAATATGGGAACAAATTAGAGGAGACTTTTTTTTTTCATGTTATGAGCTAGCACATACACCCCCTTGTAGTATAATTTCAAGGAATTGTGTACGCCATTTATGGCATGATTAGATTGCAAAGCAATGAACTCGAGAAGGAATTGAGATAAGGAGGGACATGACGGGGAGGGAGTACAAAACAATCTCTCAACACGATTGAACCATTTGGAATGGAGAAGCATTTTGCCCTCAGCCACCCGTTACTAAGTCAGGAGCGTGGCTGGATCTCTACGTTACGTCCTCTCGCTGTCTGCAGTAGCTGCTACCTAAAAAAGATGTTTTATTTTGCCAGTTGGACACAGGTGATAGGCTCCTGGGCTTCATGTTCTGTGACATCCTGCTTCTTCTTCCAAATGCAGTTCATTGCAGACACCACCGTATTGCTATCTAATGGGGAAATGTAGCTATGGACCATAACCAAAACTCACATGAAACGGAGGCAGATGGAGACCAAGGGTGGGAGCCAGAATGGAATCTTTTCTGTTATTCTATTTAAAAGGGTAATGTGGCCTTGGCATTTCTTCTTAGAAAAAAAAACTAATTTTTGGTGCTGATTGGCATGTCTGGTTCACAGTTTAACATTGTCATAAACCATTCCATTCGAAAAGCACTTTGAAAAATTGTTCCCAAGCGATAGATGGGATGGTTTATGCAAGTCAAGCTGAATACTCCTCTCCTCTCTGCTTTTGCCCCCTCCCTTCCTGCGCCCAGCCTGGGTTGCTCTTCGCTTCTGTTATCTGACATTCTTTGGTACACAGTTCTGGTGTTCCTACCAGGACTCTTGAGACACCCCCTTTCCGCTGACATTCCCATGACAACATTCCGCAGAAAAGCCTATAAACGACCGTTCTGATGGCACAGAAGGACCTTAATTCCCATCTCTGGTACTTCTCCTTTGGACATGGAAAGAAAAGTTATTGCTGGTGCAAAGACAGATGGCTGAACATCAGGGTGTGGCATTTTGTTCCCTTTTCTGTTTTTTTTCTTTTTGTTGTTGTCATTGTTAATTTTATTGCAAAGTTGTATTCAGCGTACTTGAATTTTTTTTTTTCCTTTCCACTTCTTAGAGGCATTCAGTTAGCAAAGAGGTTGGAGCAACAACTTCTTTTTTTTTTTTTTTTTTTTTTTTTTTTT